GTGTGTGCATTTGGGAAAATCATAAATTTGAAGGAAGAGGTATAATATAATGGGGGGTTTTTTTTTTTGGACTTCATTTTAGTATTTTGCTTTTTTAAAATACAAAAAAAAAAATCCTTGTCTTACACTTCACCAAATACTTATGCACTCAACATGTGTCTGTGAAAAATAATCTTAGGGCTAGAGAAAGTGAATGACCTCTAAAATTTGGGGCCAAAGAAGCTGCTGATGTCCTAAGGAACAGAAATAGCTGAGTAGGCATTGTCCAGCTTTCCTGCCTTGTCTCAATAATGTTTTGTCCATTGGAAGATACAGGGCATTCCAAGTAGTCAGCTTATCATGAAAAGTTTCTTTACAATCAACTTGCAGTTTATTTGGTTTGTAATAAGGGAAACATCCATTTATTAATTCCTTGGATGGCCCACCATCTGCAATTTAGCAAACATAGCTGGGGAATATTTTTATCTTTCGTATTTAGGAGGGTAGTTGTAACCAAAAGCAAAGGTTTATAAATATTGAGTCTGCCTTGGTAATAATGTGGAATTGTTTCTCATAAAATAGACACATAAACTTTTAGATATAATTTTATTAATAAAACAAATACAAAGTGATGTGAAAATCAAGGCCCGCCAGATTTATATGATAAATTTTAAAATATTGAGTTATATAGCTGTCTGGGGCTTTAACTTTGCCTTTCACTTTTATGATGAACTCAAAAAGAAATATTATCCAAAAGAATTCACTGCAAAATTATTATGATTAATAGGAGAGCTCGGAAATGTTGAGTTGTAACACTATATAAAGACAAATAAAACTTCTCTTTTCTTTGGTTAAAACAACAGTGGTTAAAAAATAGTACGAAAAAGCCTGATTAATCATAGCATCAAAACATAACTAGAATGAATGTTTTACAAATAGGAATTTTATTTGACTGCAAGAAGCAGAGACCTAGCAGAGTAAGAGTAAGTGAAATAGAGGAAGTATTGTTGCACTTTTATTTGAAGCTTGAGAGACATGATATGAAGGCTAAAGTGGAGATTCCCAAATCTCTTTTCTCTTTTCCCTTGCTTCTGCCTCACCCTGCCTAGAGGGCGGGTGTCTATTCACACCTGCACTTTTACATCGTTATTCAGGAGGGCCTCTCAAGTTCTCCCCAGTCACATCACATTTGCATTCATCACTGGCTTCTCTTTTTTTGTCACTGGCTTCTCCTTTCTCTCTTTGCTTCCTGGCTGCAAAGGTTGAACAGCTTTCCCCTCCTGTGCCCTTTACCATGCCCTTCTGCCCTGCAGGCAGCCAACTATGGATTGAATCCTCTAAAAATCACGAGCCAAAATAAACCTCTCCTCCTTTAAGTTGTGGGTGTCAGTCTTTTGTCCCAGTGATGGGAAAGTGACTGAGACATCTATCAACCTCTCGTTCTTATTTTCTCACATAGAACAGTTCCTCCTTTCTTAAGAAGATATCCCCAGGTCCCATCCAGGTAGTGCACAAAGCTCAATGTCTAGGATCACTGGGTGAAATGTTACCCTCGTTATCAGATCTGGATATGGCTTGTTGTGATCCATGACAATAAATTGGAAAAGATATCTGCTGCCAGAACATCATCATGGAGGAACAGTAGGATGGTGATGACTGAGCCGTTCCTTTCAGAAAGGGATAATGAGGGCATTTATCAGTCAGTTCCACAGCAATTATGAGATCCTGCTGGGCAGGATTAGCAAGGCCCCCAGCTCTCTTAAAGCAGTTTGCTCATCTGAAAGTTCTCTGCCCCAGGAGGCTTCTCCCCCACTGGCTCCATTCAGACCTTCACAGGATGTCGTTCACAGTAAATGGCTGGCACGTGGTGACAGCTACAATTTTCCTTACATGACAGTTTCTTGCAGTCTGCCTTGCAAAGTACAACAGGTTTGCCCCTGCATTATGAGGGTCAGTAGGGGTCCAGATGACGACAGGTAAGCTTCTTACTGCCCATAGCTCAATGGTCTTTAAGAGGCCAGCTATAAATGTTTATAAGAATATGCATCTTTATGAAAAGAATCCACTGAGCTTTATTGTGAGACCTAAGGCCTTACTGCAGCTCCGAAGAGCTCAGTACCACTCTGAAGAACTCAAAAATACCGCTCCGAAGAGCTCGACAGCCAGGAGATTCACCCGGGAAAGAAACACCGGACATGTAGAAAAGGAAACAGACCTTTATGAGTCTGGCCAGACGGCAATCCCAGAGCCGAGTAGCTCAGAGAGGCGCCAACTCAGGGGCTGAGGTCCTTTTTATAAGAGGGATAAGGGGGGTTAACATTCAAAGTCTGGAGGCAGGGGACTAAGGCTACTGGTCTGCTGGTGATCAGCAGCCACGTACTCAGCAATCACACGCTGATGATAAAAAGATGCTTACAGGGTCTCTAAGGCATCTCGGACAAGTAAGCAGTAAAACAATTAACTTCGGGTCTCTGTAGATGGCACAGATCTTATCTCATTTTCCAGAACTCTTAAGCATTTGCCCATTAATTCACATTATTCACAGTTGGGGCTAGGAATTTAAGATCACAAAGTTATGAAGTAAAGATTACACAAAGTTATGCAGTCTTACATTCCTAAACAAAGGTTCAAGCATAGGTAGGGGTGCAACTACAAAGGGGAGTGGTGCACAACGGCCTCTGAGGCCATTACTCATCCAACATGGAATCACTTTATGAGTTAAAGTCAGGTCTCACATTATCAGAAAAAAGAAAAGACAAGTAAGGAGAACAACAACAACAACAAAGTTCCCAGAAGGCAAAACCAAAATGGATAAACATCAATTTCCCCCAAACACAGGTTAAATGTAATTCAAATCACAGCCCGAATAGTCTAACATAACATTTTGGAACTTAACAAGATTACTTCTAAAACTCATCTATATAAATAGAAATGTATGAAAACAAAAAAGTATTTGGAAAGCAAAAGAAAATAACTTGGTACATAGAAACTTCTACATCAGTGTGTGCAGTAACATTATTCATAATACACAAAAGATAGAAACAACCTAAATGTCTATCAATATGTGAAGGGGCAAACCTACTATGGCACGTCCATACAATGTTATACAGTCACGAGAAGAAGTGAAGCCCTAATACAGCCTCCTACACCAACAAACCCCTAAGGCATTGTGCTAAATGAAAGAAGTCACATGCAAAGGATTACATAGTATAGAAGTCCTTTCATGGACTATATCCAAGATAAACAAAGCAGTAGATGAGGAAACAGAAGAATGTTTACCAGAGACTGAGAAAAGTGGGAAATATAGTACAAATTACTTAAAGGGTGTAGGATGCTTTTATGGAGTGATAAAAATTTTGACATTAGAACTAATAGTTTCACAATATTGTGAATGCACTAAATACTCCCCCAATTGTATAAATTAATGTGACCGATTACATATTGTGTATCATTTCAATAAAATAAAATAAAAATCATTATGGAAAACAGTTTGATGTTCCCCCAAATTAAAAATAGAGCTGCTATTTGATCCAGCAATCCCACTCTGAGTAATATGTCCAAAGGAAGTGAAATCAGTAGATCAAGAGATGCTTGTACTCCCATGTTCGCCGCACTGCTGTTCATACTGGGGAAGACATGGACGCAACCTGAATGCATCAGCTGATGAACAGATTACAAAAATGTGATACAGTTGCACAATGGCATGCAATTCAGTCACAAAAATAAGAAAATCCTATCATTTGCAGCAACATGGACGTGCCTGGAGGACAGTACCCTAAGTTAAATAAGCCAGGCACAGAAAAACAAGCACCACAAATTCTCACTCATATGTACAATCTGCAAAAACTGATCTTATGGAAACACAGAGCTGAATGGTTGCAAGCAGGTTGGGTGAGTAGCAGGCAGGGTTATAGGGAAGATAGCTCAATGGTTCAAAACTACAGTTAGACGGCAGAAGTAAGTTCTGATGTTTCAATGCATAGCAAGGTGTCTAGTTAACAATAATATATTTCTACATACATTATATAAATATAAATATATAAAAATATGTATTATATATATTTCCAGGTAACTAGGAAGGAAGACTTTGAATATTCTCATCATAAACTGAGGATGAATGTTTGAGGTGATAGAACATGATAATTACCCTGATTTGGTTATTATATAATATATAAGAGCAAAACATCATATATATATAATTATTCTGAGCATTACAAATCTAAAAAAATTGGAATGAGGGCAATCCATGTGTACTGACACATCCATATTTCTAACATATATAGTAATTTAAAAAGAAAGGTGAGCCAGGGATTTAGCTCAGTGGTTCGGTGGCCTGCCTTGCAAGCGCAAAGACCTGAGTTCAATCCCCAGTACCAAAAAAAAAAAAAAAAGAAAAGAAAGGTGAAAAACAGTACATATCACATGATAAATTTTGTAGCCTGAAAAAGAAAACAATAATAATCTTTGTATTTACTTCTTTTTGCATCAAGAAATACTGGATAAAACAAAGCTCTAGCAAAATTGATCCCCTCAATGAAGAGTAAAATAGGACCGAAGCTGAAAGTTAAGGGAACAACACTTTATAGTGAATAACTTTTATATCATTGGAAATTTAAACCCGCATGGCTATATTTCCTATTTAGACACAGTAAAATGTGAAGTGAAATAAACCAGTCTGAGTAAGGTGGTAAGGTTTTCTCAAGCACCGTCTTTGATGTGTTTATTTCCTTATCTTGCACGGCTTCCACTCTTTCTTACACCGCATCTTCTCCTTCGCCTAGATCATCAGTGTTTATGTTTCTGGTTTACCAAGGAGGGAATGGACTCAGGGCTACTAGCATGCCAGCCGAGTGCTCTGCCACTGAGCCATATTCCCAGTCCTTCCATCTGAGTTTTGATTCATCTCACGGTTGACTCGATTTAATCAGTTTTGTAAGAAGTGGCTTCACTGCTTTCAGTAAGCAGTGAATTCTTATTTTCTCCTACATGTCTAAGTGGTTATTCATGTTGTTTTATTTCAGTTAAAAGATCATCAAGCACTTCAATCCCCCCACTCCTACCTGGTACTGGCTGTTTTGGTGAAGAAGTCTGGGGTCTGCTTCAATTCTTTTCTCCTTGATGTGACAAGATTTTTCTACCTTTTGCAGTAAGATTTTTCTTTTCCATTTTTGAAGTTCAGCAATTTCAAAAGAGTACAGCTTAGTATTTATCTTCCTGTGTCACTTCTTTTTGGGAAAATGTCTGCCCTTTTGATCCACAGACTCAATCGTGTTTTATGCTGTGTGGTTTGTGGTTGTACATATTTCCTTACTTTATTGCTGTTAGAAATGTTTATTTTTTTTTGTTCTTTATTGTTCCTAGTGAAGTTTTATCCACAAAATTTTATATGAAAATTTTCTCACACAGAGAAAAATGGAAAGAATTTTACAATGAAGAATCATTTATCTAATTCTTGGATTCTACAATTAATATTTTGCAGTATTTGCTTTGCTAGATATCTGATCACATATACATCCTCTGTCAATCAATAGACCTTATCTTATCAGTTTCCAAGTAATCACACCAATACATTTCCAATAAACCCTTTAGCATGTATTTCACTACAATCCAACAGTTGTTCATGGGCTTTAACTTTTTGTTCCAAAATGAAGTAACAAATGTATAACTCTTAATCCTGAGCATACATTTATTTACTTTTGTGTACATTTTTACAAATGATTACGGTAGTTTATCTCTAAACATGTCTAGCTTAATTTTGTTCACTGATTTTTTTTCATTTGAAATATGGAATCAATTTAAATTTTATCATACATCATCTTGTGTATCTCATTGGAATTGTGCTGAATCTATAGATGAATTCTAGACGTTTAACATTAAATAATCCCTCATAAACACAATATGCATCTCCTTTCTTTAGATGTCACTTTATGAGTTTTTAATTTCTTCCCATAGGTTTACGCCGTTTTCTCCAAGGTTTTCATAAGTGTATTATAACTGGTATCATAATTGGATCTTTTAGCATTGTGTCTTCTAACAAGTTGTTGATGAGCAATTGATTTCTCACAATTTTTATCTTCTTTTTCAGTATAGTGGAACACAATTGAAATGAAACCAGTAAAGTGTAAAAAATTCTTGAATAGGCTCTTTAGATAATTGTCACTTTCAGAACAACAGGAATAAAAGCTGCTAAGCACCAGGTGAATTCCTCTTAATGTGAAGATCTCCACGAGCAGCATAAACCTCACCTGTACTTTGTATGTGTAGTTAATACACAGCAAGAGTTGGGAAATTAAAGTGTTTCTTTCCTAGTAGAAATTTGGGGTCCCCCAAAAAACCTGTTTTTCCTATTAACTGTATTTTTCTTTTATCAAGGAGTACAGTATAAAGGAATGGACTACACCATTTTCTCATTTTCAACATTAGATAACATTCATGAATTTAGCCGAAGATTTGGTAAATTGATCCCATCAGCATATCAGACCTAATGAATAACAAAACTACCTTCAAGCCCTCCCCCAGTTTGTGGGAAGTAGCAGTTTCAGTTGAAGGAGTGAGCAACAAAAGAGAGCAGAGAAATCTGAGTACATTAATCAAATCTTTTCTTGGGCACAAAGAAACAGTGCCGATTTTCAGATGCTGTCTCCAAATTCTAGAATGGTTAAATCTATCCATTTCATAATTTTATACCATTGAAGCCAAATACATTTTTAAGTGTTATCAAAAGGATGAATAGACTGGGAGATGTCCCCACCTGTGCTCCTTTTAAAAACTCACACATTTAGATTCAGAAATGTCACCCAATTTTCTAAAGTGTCTCACCAGCCAGGCTTTTATCCTCATAAAACTGAATATAATAAGGCTAAATGCAATGCAGATGTCAGAGGGAAATGCTCTCCACTTCCTGTCAGCCATAGGTATTTAGCCAAGGTATTTATAAGGCCTCTCCAATTCCTTTCTGTGATATCCCAAACTTTCATTTATTCAATAGGAAGCACTAAAGCACTTGAACCCGTTAGCCCAGAGCAGTGCCTTTACTTTTTAATCCCACAATTACTCTTTGAGGCCTAAAAAGCAGATCGTCTAACAATGAAGATCACTTTTAAATTTTCTTATTTTAGGAGTAAGGGCTGCCCTAACTTCAAATTTCATGGTCTAAACTAGGGAGATCTCAAAAATTCTCTTGATTTAATGCCCTATAAAAATTCTATTGTAGATAGGGAGGGAGGGAGGGGTTGAAGGGAGGGCAACAGAATGGGGAGAAAATAAGAACCAAGAGTGATTATGTAAAGCTTCAAATTTCCAACAATGAAGTCATTATATTGTATACATTAAACGTACCAATAAAATTAATTTAAAAATTCTAGATTGGACACCCACTTTCTGTCTTTCACATGGTATTTGTCATCATGAATGATCACTAATCACTGTCAATATTATTTGTATTATTAGTACTATTTTCACATTTTTACTCATAGTCATAGTTACATGACTATGGAATGAACTGTTGTTCTGTCAGTGTTTAAGTGGTTTCACTTGGCTTGCAACTGACACCTAAAGAAATTCATAGGTATGCCATATACATACATATATATTCATTCAGCCCTTGATATATGTCAAGTAAAAGTGCCACCACCTATGGGAAGCCCAATATAGAGGTGTCTCATTTACTTTTCTCATTGTTGAGACAAAAAACCCTAAGATCCATAAATCAAAAGAGGAAAGGTTTATTTTGGCTCACAGTATGTTTCATCCCAGAGTCAGGTGGCTCCCAGGAAGGGTGACATGGCAGAGGTGCATCCTAGAGGGGGAACGATCCTTGGCAGAGCATGCAGGAGGCAGCAGCAGCAGCAGCAAGCAGCAAGCTTACCTTTCCTCTCTCCCTTTTTTTATTTTTTAAATCTTTATTAAGTTTATTGGTACATTTTAGGTATACAGTAAAGTTATGTTAATCATTGGGATCTTGTGCCTTTATATGACATATCTTCATTCTTATTTTTCCCCATTCCCCTACCCTCTTTTCAACCCCTCCACCCTATTTTCAAAGACTCTGCATTTTTTTCATTTTCTCATACTCTTTCTATTCTCTCTTGCCTTTTCCCTATTCCTCCCACTTCCCCTATTTCTTTAAACCTTTTCTTCCACTTATACAATATCAATTATATATTTTGATCCTTATTCACACTTTTAGATTTTTTCACCAGACAAACTATTTGATAATTACATGTGTGCTCTATTAATTTCACTTAAAAGTATGGCCTCAATGTGCATCCACTTAGCTTAAACTGTCTCAAGTTTCTCATTCTTTATGCCTGAGTAGTACTCCATTTTATTAAAAAAAAAAACCCACATCTTTATCCAGTCTCCATTTTATGGGCAATTGGGCTATTTTCAAGTTTTATCCATTACAAACTGCGCTGCTATAAACTTGGATGCATATATCATGGTGGTATGATTCTTTTATTTTGGGGGGGAATATGCCCAGCAGAGGAGTAGCTGGATCAAATAGGACTTCTAATCCTAGTTGTCTGAGGTATCTCCATATTGATTTCCACAGTGACTGCACCAGTCTGCACTCCCACCAACAATGGAGAAGGGTTCCTTTCTCCTCACAACCCTGCCAGCATTTGTTATTGGTTGATTTCTTGATAACAGCCATTCTCCCCTTATATTCTATCCCTATTATAATCCTATTAATTGGTGTCACCCACACCCAGGATGGGGCTTCACCCACATCCAGAGGTATGCTAAACCAATTTAATTGTTACATATTCTTACTGCCTCTGAAGAGCCCCACTTATGAGTGCATGAGGCTTTTGGGGGACGTCTAGATATAAACCATAACAGGAGGGGTATGAGCAAGTCAAAAGTGTAGTACAATGCAGCAATAAAAGTGCCGAGGATGGCATTTTTTGCAAAAATTAATTTTTAAAAAATTGTTAAATATATTTCTCTTAGTTATTCTTGTTTTTATGAACTTCATTTTGAACTTCCCATTTCGCATTTTGCAGTGGTGGTGTCAATGTGTATAACATATTCTGCTGCTATCATGCCCCCTATTACCTGCCCTTACACTCCTCCTCCTCCCTCTTGTTCCCTTGCTCTTGTCTAATAATGGTCTGCCTTGTACTATCTCGTCAATACTGAGGGATTCAAAGAGGGTTTCCTAGAAGAAGTATTCATTTGGCTGAGGCTGGAGGATTAGTACAGAAAATTTGGGTGGGAGTAGATGTTGAAAGAAGCCCACACAATAGAATCAGAGTAGTGCTGAGGCAAGAGTAAGCCTGGTACCTATGTGGATGGTTGTGAAGCCTCGTGAATGGTGAGGTTAAGCAAGAGGGTAGACAAGCACACGTAAGAGCTGGCCCTGGAAATGCCTAGAAGCCACATATTAATAAATTTTTGTCTTGAGGACAGTGGGAGGGTATTGAAATGTTTTATATGGAGGCAAACCCAGACTGCAGATCATTTTGATTACTGTGTAGAGAATGAAAAAGCCAAAGGCATATTGAGAAGCTGCTGCAGCACTGTTGACAACAGGCAATGATTTAATAACAGCTCGTTAATGGGGATAGATAGCAGAGCTGTGAATGATTTGGAAGCTACAAAGAGGCAAAGCTTGGGGAAGATTGATGGTGGGGAAAGGTGTGGAGAGATATCTAGAATGATGATAACCATGTTTCTAGCTTTTTTTGTTGTTGAGACATTCTTTACTGGAAAATTTCTTCTCCATCCACCTCTAGATCCCCTTTGAATCTTCAAAAGGTCTATTTTCTTGTTACCTTTAACCTAGCTTTTGTTTTGCTCTTGAAATGATACTTTGTGTTTCTCCTATAAGGGAAACCATGCAATATTTAACCATTGCTGTCTAATTTATTTTACATAACAGTATGGCTTCAAGGTAAATCCATATTCCAACAAATGACTCAACTTTATCTTTCTGTATGGCTGAGTAGAATTCATAGATATACATTTAGATATAGATATATCTCACATTTTCTTTATCCATTCATCTGTTGATGAGGATGTAAGCTGGTATCAAGATTTATCTTTTATGAGGTATGCATGCATCGATTTAGGGGATGGAATAGGCTCCATATTTCACTCTCTGTGTGGTGTAGTATGTGTTTCAGGGTGAGTGTTGTTGTTATTTTGACATTCACTGTTAGGTAGGATTATAAGCACATACTCTAGGGTT